TCCCGGCTTACCTGAAAAAAACACGGTTGTTGCTACAAGCAGGGCATACTCGGTCTCTGTCACTTTCAGTTCCCCCATGCTTCTGTAGAAGTAAAACAGTGCGGTAATGAACTCCTCAGTTATACCTTAAAATTAAATAAAATAATCAGAATGTTATTTCAGTGTAGAAACAGGCACTGCCATTATGAATCATCTTTGCTCTAATCTTCTGTTTCGTTGCATTAAACAGTTAGTAAACTTTGAGAAAACAACATTAAATTCTAAAGTAGTAACAAATGTTGTATTGCAGTTGTACTGTGAAACTTTTGATATTATTATATATAGGATATAAGCAAACACGAAAACCACCTTTCCTTCCCTGAGTGTACTGCCTGCACAGGCAACAAAGCAGCTCAGAGGAGGGAAGAGGATGAGCAGTGGTCAGTGTTGCTCAGTGTGCATAAAAGCAGGGCTAGTAAAGCTTGATTCCTAAGTATTTTGGTTCTGAGACTGCCATTACCTGTAGTAGTAGTTGAAGTTGGACTCTCTTCATTGTGAGATATTTCCATGGAATAAATACTGGTTTTATCAAGGTTTTGAACATGACAGCATGTCCCATGATCAGAAAGTCTTACATGACCTGGAACAAGAGAGACAGCAGTTCCCAGCCAAGCTTAATGTGACTTAAAATATTTGCCTATCTCTGCTTTGCAGATAAATACCTGAAAGTGTGTGAACTTTTGCCAGATGCAAGCAGGTGGAAAAAAAAAAATTGTTTTGTTGACATCCAGCACCACATTCATTTGTTGCATTATTGTTCATCTAAGTTTCTTGTGTTACACTTGACACCATATAAAATGTCATTAATATAGCTAATCTTACTCACCCACCCCACAATTTGCACAGACACTCAAAAAAATCTTGTTCTTTGTAACCAATGGAAGGAAAGAAAAGATCCAGTTTATTATTTTTAATTTTTTATGCTCTTTGAAAAAAGCCTATAGAAGGTACATGGGCACTATGCTAAGTACCACTCTGCTTGAATAGGAAATTATTTGAGATTTAAGTGAATGGAACTTGTTTCAAAAAGGCAGAAGAACCTCCTACTGGTGCTGAGAGAAAGCTTGTTAGTCAAACTTACTTTCACTTGTTGATGGTTGGCATTCATTAATTCTTTGGTTATATATTTGGGCTGAATGCAAAAACATTGCTTCCACTGTTGACCCCTTTAGCAGTGCAATCTGGTCTTCACTAGCTAAACTTTCAAATCCTGCAGAGAAAGATACATGTTAAGAATCAAGGAATGCAGTGGCTGCCTTTAAGCTCCCAACATGAATCCATAAAATTATTTTTTAATAAGTGCCTTTACTGGAAAGGAGGAGCCATAGTTCAAAGATGCATATAACAAAAACTATTGTGATCTTCCTTGCTAGTTTGCTAATTAGGCAAAAGTGTAGTATGCAGTGTTCAGCATTAGAAGATTCACAGGATACCAGTAAAAATTTTTGACCAAGCAAGCCTATCAAAAATTTCTTCTTAATACCCAATTTATATCACATGGCCTAATACCTTATAAATTGGCTACATTTCTTTGTGACTGTGCATATTCTCCTCATTCATTGATATCTGATCTTTTATAAACTGTGTTCATCTTCTGACCAACTCATCTGCATTTATAATTCAAGAGCAAAGGAACTTTATTCTTTCCTTAATCCTGATCAAAGTAGCATATGCAACAACAAATCACTCATCCATTATGTCAGATCTGTTCCACAATAGTGCTAAATTACATCAAATATCTGCTTTAGATACGTTGATTGACCTTTGTCAACAAATTTTACAGCCTCAAGAGTAATGAAAACATCCCCCCTGCCAAATATTTATTTGTCAGCTTTACATTGAATTGTAGTGAAGCTAATTGCATCTTCCTTTGTTCTTTACTAAAAGAAATATTAATAGGAAGACATGTTTAGTCCCTTCAGTGTTACCTTTTCCTTTAAAGGAACATCTGTTTTTTTCTTTGATGACCATAATAGATTGCAAGCTGAGCTGGATTTCAGAGAAAGTATTAACATAGTAATTAACTCAATATGGTATTAAATACTTTCAGAATTAAATGCATACTTTCAGAAAATGTCTCCACTCCATGTCAGAAATGGAAAAAAAAAAATCTAGTTGTAATAAGCTTTTGAAGTGAATGCTTCTAACGTATCCTGATGACAAGTAATGGTAATCCTGATCCTTGGAATTGAAAGATAAAATAGTGAATTGAATGAGAAGTTTCTTAAAGCAGCTATCTTTTCTATTATTCTCAGATTCATGCAATCAGTATACTTTCTGCCTCTGAAAAAAAAATAATAATAATAATCACCTGGAAGTCTTTTTGTGAAATCCACTAACACTTGTACATGGATGACTGCTGTCTCAGACAGACGGAGAAAACTTTCTTCAGGACTTGCAGTTTCTTGTAGCTGCACAAAAGAGCATTTAGACATCAGATATAACCAAGGCACAGCACTTACAGTAAAAACTTTGCAATGCAGGATGATTGTTCTGTATACATACAATCTTCTTCGCTTCCTCAAGGGGAATTGTGTATTTTTGGTGTGCTGCTACAATGTGATCAAGAAGCTGATGTTCCCCTGGAGTAAGTTCCAACTTCTCTGGGATCTGCTAAAAAAGTAAACGAATCAGGTGACAACAACTTGGGACAAAAATAAATTATCATTATTTAAATAGAAAAAATATCCCACTTTTCCAGATCTTGTCGTAGATGATACTTGCTTACTATTCAGTCCTTCATCTTCCAATTTTATGTTGCAAAGAAAACTGCTCTTCTGTTTGAAATTCTTCCTGAGTCGCTTTGACTTGCACTGTACCTCAGTCAACAAGCCTGCAAGGGATGGAAGCATGTATCAATATTTATATTTTTAAATAATTACAATTTATAATAATGATTTTTGTTATAGATAACAAAAGCCTTGCATCACAGGAACCATCACCTATCAGAAGCTCCCTAGAGAATATGGCAATGTGTTACTTTCTGCATTCAGCCTATATATGGGACTAAACTACAGCAGTTATTCTATCACCTAGTGACCTACCCAGCTGAGAAAGAGAATTGGAAAAAGGAGAAGAAACCCATCGGTTGAAAAGAAAACAGATTTAACAAAAGAGCAAAACTAATGTTAATGCTAATATAAAGTATACAAAGTTTTACTCAGCCCAGTAAACATACAGCAATCATAATAAACAGGAAAGCTGTCTGCAGGAGCTGGACAACAAGTAGTCCTTCCAGAGAAGACAACCCTTGGGAGGAGCAGGAAGGAGGAACCCCCTCCTCATGAGCATGAGTTTATGGTATACAATACACCTGTTAGCCAACTTAAGCCACCTGCCCTGGCTTTTCCTCCTCCTAGCTCAAGCTGCCAGCTGACTCCAAACTGCACATGGCCTATACAACATGACTGACCTATGATTCTATCCCAGCAAAACCAGGAAAGTTTCTCTTTAGCTTAATTATTTTTCAGTATCCACCAAAGACCTGAGTGTTTGCAGTCTTCTTACGTTATCTTGTTTGTGGCTCTTGTTATACACAAGTGTGAGAATTTTTAATGAGAAGCTATTGTACAACTTTTTGTATTTATTTTTTTTTCCAAACACAAAAGCACATCTGATACACTTACATTTTTCCTGTCAAGGTTCAGGACAGTTAGCTGTTTGTTATTAGTACTTTTTTTTTTTTTTTCTTGTATTGTCTTTGAACTGCAGTCCTCTTAACTTCAGGAGATACATTCCAAGCATTGGTAGTTTCTGCAGATGAAGATGCTTCAGGTGCTACAGACTCAAAAGTTAAATTTTCCTATACCTAAATGTCTCGACAAATACCATTTGGTTCTAATGAGGAGAAGGGATTGACTTTGGTTTTATCTGAGTTGATTAGTAAAGTAGCCAGCATGGAAGGAGCACTTACATTCCGCTAGCATTCCCACAGCTTTACACTTCTTCAAGCGACATTCCTGACACTTCCTTCGCATGTACATGTCCATTTCACAATGACCACCATTTTTGCATCGGTACACTGCATTTTTGGTTATGCTACGTCGAAAGAAGCCTACAGACAAGGATCAGGTTATGACTGAAGGAATCTAAGGAGCTTTCTTTCACGATTTAAAGAATTAAAGTGCCCTTGGAGTTTTTTGTTTGTTGTCTTTTTTTTTTACATTGTTTTAAATTTGCTTTTTAACAACATAGTTATATCTTGTTCTTTCTAACATTAATATCTTTTTCCCTTACTTGGTTAAGACAACTCCCATTTAACAAGTTAAAAAACAAGTAGTGAGTGATTATCACTTGTTTTTATTTAATTAATAAAATTAACAACACTGAAGTAAATCTGTAATAAATTATCATGAGAAAATAAACACCTGCTTAAACAGACACTATTTTAGGAAAAATCAGTTGCCTGAAATGCTCAAATAAAGTGTTCATAAAAATGTGAATCTGGAGTTGGTCTGTTAGATTAAGGGTTCCTTAGGTAAATTACAATTCTCTGTAGAAACAGCAACTTAAAAATAATGAAATCTGTTTGTTTAAACCACAAACGT